TTGTTTTAATCCAAGATTAATGAGTTTGCCAACATAGATGGGTCAATAAGTTATGATTAATAAGTAGTGGAAAAACACAAGCCCATCTTTCACCATGCCCTGAATGTCCAAAGTAAGACAAATACTATTCCTGAAGCCTGGTTTCTAGGAACAGACTGAAGGGACACAAGCCAATCTGCCAACCATAGTCCAAATCAGCAGAAGTTTCAGTTGCTACTATTTCCCAGATGTCTCTACTAGCAGACTACTGAGTCATCTTTGTTTTATTAGGTGACCAAAAACAAAAGAAAAAACCAATTTTTTTAAAATGGAATTTGATATGTGAAAAAAAGGAATGGAATGTCCCCTCAGCAGAGTATTATTTATGAAAGGAAACATATTTGGTTTTGGGAAGGGCACTTGAAATGATCTAAAGTGACACACAAGCAAATGCCAGAAGTGCATATTCACTGCTGAAAGCTGTTTTCCTGAACCTGAGTGTTCATGATTTAATTCACAAAAAAAGCAGGAATATTACTGATTAAAAGCAGCTTATATTATTGATAGCCTCAAAAAATAAAAGTCCATTTTGTGCCTGCACCCTTCTGAACACTCAAGGGTGGTTATTTCTCTGCCAATTTTTGCTTTAGTTGTGTCAAATTCCATAAGTCACAGAGAGGAGTTCCTCTGCTCTCTCACACCATAATACCTCTTGTGTCATCTGGGATATTCCCATATTCCAGTAGCACTCAGGAGACTAAAATCAGGCAACTTAAAACCAACAAATCACACCTTCAACTTTCCATCCTCTTTGCATTGCTTAAATAGCTCAGAAGAGAAGAGCCAAAGGCACTAGGGATCTTAATTAACACCTTTGCCTTTATTATTGAACCCACTGGAGGAAGGTTTAAATGTTGAGAAGAGCTGAAATTGATGGCTCTTGAAAAGAGATCAGAATTCAGAACCACATTTATCAAGTGACAGAGAAAACTGGTTTTAATGTCCTTTAGCAAATCTTCTGTATCAGAAACCCTTTTAGCAGGTAATTCCTGTTTCTTAAAAAAACCCATAATTTTTGAGACTCAATACTAAATACAAATAAATTATCAGGAGATAAATAAAGGCTATGAGCTGGCCCATAATCTAGTATGTAAACAAGACATGTACAACTGAAAAAGTCATAAAAGGATATGTAACAAAGACATCCTTGTTTCTTTCTTGATCAAAGAATGGTTCATTGTGATACATATGAACCATTACAATATGTGTACAATGTGGCTTTAGCATTGCAGGTAGACACCACATCCCTTAAACTCAATCTGGAATTAATATTCCAGATGCTGACTGTTTACCTATAACAGGAAGGGAATCATGGCCAGAGACCCTTTTAATGGTGGATAACAGAGGTGTGAACAATGCTGGAAATCAGTTTGTGTTTCACGGGAAGAGCACTTGGGGTGAGATCAGCACCTGTGGGAGGCAGCTGTCCCCAAGCTCTCCTTCCAGGTTTATCAGTGCTGTTTGGTGCCTGCTGTAATGGAGGGAGGGTTTTAAACTCTGGCCCCAAAGCCAAAAGAAAGCACTTAAAGACATACTTATCTAGAAGCATCTAAATAGGGCAAATCTAGATAGAATCCTAGTGCACAGTGCAATCATTTTAGATATTCTTACTATAGGCTCTAAATATCACATTTCCTTTGAGTAATTTTGTCAAAAATTAAGCAAAATAGAGCATTTATGGACTGCAGTATTTTGATGTCAGGATTGCAGTGGTTGACTCAACTGAATGTTCTGCTGTTGTATCTGCTTTAGTACTTTCATCTGCTGATCTCCACATATCTTTTGCTTTAATAATTTTTAATAATACTAGATTATTTAGGGGGAGAGAAAAAATCACCCAACTACATTATTGAAGTTTCTAGGTTTGATAACTGCCCAGGAGAATGAGGCTTTTCCCCTAATACCTGTATTTCCCCCTTTTTCCTTTAGAGATATGAGGGATCATGCCATGTGTGGTGTTATTGAGGGAGAGCACACACATTCTCTCTTGGGAGCTGCAGGCAAATTCTTCCATGTCTGTCACTTCCTACAGGTTTATAATTCGGGCTGATGCTCAGCTCTTTTTTTTTCTGGGACCCACAGTGTCAGTGCTGGTGCAGGTTTTGTCCTGTCAAGCCAAGGAGGTGATAAAGATCGATGAGCTCCACACTTATCGGGGATCAGGAAGGTTCTGTTTGCCCGAGGGCTTCATTTCCTCTCAGCTTTATATAACTGCAGAGCAGGGGTTATCCCAGCTGGCAGCTCAGGGAAGGAGGAGCAGTCCCCAGGGACCCTGCCCGGCTGCAGCAGTGCTGGGACACAAAAAACGGCAACTGGTTCTTTGGCTGTGTTTGTCACAGAGAATTACAGACATTTCTTTGGCATTAACCCTAATTAAATGCACATACTCAGAACAAAATGGTGGTAGGTTATTGTGTATTTTGACTAAAGTGCTCTCTCTCAGGAGACTGCTCTTCCTTTTGCATGCACAATTGCTTTTGCAATTTTACCTTTTCTTTACCTTGCAGAAGGTAAATAGTCACAAGTATTTGAATAGCAAGAAGCCCTCTATTTTCTGCTGAAATGAACTAGTTTTTAAATACTGTAAATCTGTGATTTCTTAAGATGATCTATGCCGACAACTGAAGCCAAATATATTATTTATGAAGATTCATCAAGGAGACTGTAGCAGTTCACACTAGAGATTATAAATATGCAGGAAATCTGAGATTGCTGGAGTTTATGTAGGCTAAATCTTGTATATTTCAGACTGTTTTTCTTGCTTTTTCTGCTCCTTTACCTCCCATTTACTCCAGGTGAGAGCTTAGCAGCCTTTCAAAGCAAGTCCTGGGACAAACAACAAATTTGACCCTGGAGGGTGTGAAAAAATAAAGCAGGAGGAAGTAGATCAACTTATGAATGATTCATGGAGACAGTGAGCTTGGAGGAAGTGGAGATGGTGTCTGGGGAAATACGATGCAAAATATGAGAGCTTCCTAGCTACCAGGGGAAATACAAGAAATAGAAGTACAAATCTGAAAGGGAAGGAAAGTAATAAAGAGAACAGCACTAAAAACCTAGTGGAGAGCAAGTAAAAAATTTGGAAAATAAAAGCATTAAAAAACCTATAGATGTAGGTGGAGTGTGGAAGCATACTGAGATAGAATGGATAGGATACACAGTCTAATGTATACAAAGTCAAAAAGGCAAATAAAGCATTGGAGATATTTCCAGAGTTACATTTCTAGGTGACAAATGTATTCAGTGTATTTGAAAAGTGAAGTCTTCAGTGGGTAAGGGAAGAGTACAGAACAGCAGTTATTGCTACCTATGTACAGTTCTTCATTTAGAAGAGGAAAAAAGGCCATCATTTTAATCAAATCGCCAGTGGGAAGAAGTGCAATTATCACTGATAAATGAAACAGGTGATGTAGGGGATCTGTGTGAGTACAGAGCAGATCCTGGGCTTTCACTCATAATTGAGCAAATCCGTTGTCATTTATTTGGACATGCATGCTTCATGGAGGAAAAAGGAAAGGCCAGGGCAGATGGAAGCAATTGAGGGATGAATCCCATAGCCATTTAAATAATCAGAAAATTCCCATGCTGAATAAAGGTCCCATCTTTCATAGGAGAGGAAGGAAGAACCAGTGAGCATGTCTAGCATATTTATAGTTTAAACATCCTTTTCTTCTTCCCTTCATAATGGAGTCAGAGCCTGAGAGCTGCTATGCAGCAGCTACTTTGTGTTTAAAGGGAAGTAGCTGTGGATTGTTCTCTTTGAAAGGTAGTGGGTAGTGTGTTTTGAGGAACAGATTGTATAGATCTGTTCTAAACTGAAAATGGGAAAAAGCTTGATAAAGTGACTAATGGGGGTAAAACTGATAGGGAAAAAAAATTTAATCCAATGGGTTTTTTCTTTTCTAAGCTGTACTGACTGACCACAGTGCTGTTCTAGTTCCCACTTCTCAAGTTCCCTTCCTGAGTTCTGGAGTTTTGGTTCCTTGTTGCTCCTCACTGGGTGCCTACAGGTGTAATTCCTTCCCAGGAGGTTTGTACCAGCTCCAGTGTGCCCAATCCTGATTCAGTGGCTGTAATGAGCTCTGTTTATACTGGAGAACTGAAGTTACTCCTTTCCAGACTTTTAAGAAGAACCACGCTAGGGACAAAGGTGTGACAACAGAAGAAAGTCAGCCTTTTAAAAAAGAAATCTAAAAAAATAAACATGTGCACTTAGGGCAGTCCTTGGGAGGAGGCAGCTTTCAAAGCTCAGATGGTGCGTGCAGTCCAGCACATTTTCCAAATAAAAGTTTTAAACCAAAAGCAGGCTCACAGATGGTTCTAATGAGCTGGTCTTTGAGATACACTGGGACTTGAACAAAAATAGTTTAACTCCTAAGACACTAACATTTCGAGATGAGTTTCAGGCAAAACAATTCAAGAACAATTTATATGGCATATTTAAATTTTATATATATTTCTAGTCTCAAAAAAACAGTTTTTCAGGACCTTGCACTTGCCATTATGTACTTTACAGTACAGTATCACAAAAGCAGGATCATTTTGACACAGAGACTGATGCTTCTTTCTCCAGCACTTTTCAGACCTTACAAAGAGTTAGTTTTGAACAAATAGTTATTAAAAACATAAAGATTTGCTAGGACAATTTAATTTTTAAAGGAATATAGAATAGTACCCTACTAGAAGTATTACTCATCATTCTAGTAATAGAAGTATCATCAAATGATACTTATCAAAAAGTATCATCTGTTAATAAATCATCAAAGCTAGTAGCTTTGTGGCACAGCAAGTATTTGTTAAACTGTATTGTTTATATTATTATCTGTTACAAAAATAGGAATTGATTTATAAACTTTTTATATTGTTTGAAATGACAGCATTGTAACTTACAGTATCTCAAAACTATGTTCTCTGTTTCACTTGAGTTTTGAGAGACTTCTTATTTCTTTATCTCCTCTTAGGTCTGCCTTATGGATGGGAAGAAGCTTATACAGCTGATGGAATCAAATATTTTATCAAGTGAGTAGTTCTGGGGAAAACGGGTCAGAGTTGAAATAGAAACACATCAAACTAAACATATTTTCAGTCCTAGAATTAATGGAAACATTTATTGCACCGTATGCTGTTTTTTCTAGAATATAGTGAAGATTAATTTATATGATAGGGTTTTTTTAATTATTCCTCTTAAAGACTGAAGGAAATGGTGAAAAATATAATTCACCTCCATTCCATATATATAATTATCTAGTTAATAATAAGTTATTCTAGCTGCTGAAATTTCCACGGCATTTAATTCTTATAGGTGCCAGAAACACAGTTCTGCAGTCTCCTAAAAGAGAGGAAGGGCAGCAAATAAATTATTTTATCCCAAACTCTTTCAAAAGTCACGTAAATAACACTGAACTTGATGCATTAACTGGCAAAGAAAAGCAGGGTTTTTTTCCTTTTTTTCAAGCACACTGCTCAGTTGTCCTTGCCTCACCCCGTGCTGCCTCGAGCAAGATGTATTAAAGCAGACATGTTTTTTTCTGCAGAGGTTTCCAAACACACTGTATATGATCCTGCATTCCAGCTCTAATCAAAGGCTGCCTTTTATTTTCAGACAGATGTAGGTTACTACATGAGATTTATACAAAAAAAACCAAAAAGTAGAAAAATAGCTTATGAAATGAAAGTGAATTAAAAGCCAATTTCGTAGCAATGGAAATATATACAAGAGCAACTATTAAAATAGAGCACTGTTCCCTTGGGCTCTCTGTTCATGCAGAGAGCCATGATAGGACAGCTGGGAAGTTAAGGTGGATGCTGGACTCTTTTCTGGGTAATACTATGGGTTTGTATCTGTGTGACTGGAAACTGAGCAGGAAGATGGTATTATCAATAAAAGCAAATAAAATTTAGAACTGAAGAAATGACACATTCTTGAAGCATCCCCGCTGGGTCCCCCATGGGATTTTTTTTTGTTTTTTCCTCTGTTTGTCTTAGTTATGTATCTCAATGGCTCAGCAGAAAGCTGGATTTGCTGGATATGTGCAGACAGGTCTTTCTGAGCTGCACTTGGATGCTGAACCATTACAGATGTGACAAGCAGATGCTTATTAGCAGCAGCAGAATCTCAGCTACTCTAGGTGGTGCAAGCCTAATTTGCAGAAAGCATCAAATGTTTTACATCTTATTTTATCCTTGTTGCAACTATGGATTGGAACTCAGGAGTTCACCTGAAAAAGCTTTTTCAGGAATTTTTGTAGATCTCACTGTTAGTGACTCTCTTCATTTGCTTCTGGTGACAGTGCCCAGGTTTTCCATTGCTGTTGCCTTCTGTAATCTGTCCTAAAAAATTCTGCCTGTCAGTCTTTGTGAGGAAGAAAAACAAAGAAAATTTATCCATTTAATGGCAGAGAAGGGTGTGAAATCACCCTTCATGACCACTGGCTAAAAACCTTCTGAGTGGAGTCACCACACTGAAGTAGTGTTAGAGTTCTCAATGCAGCTCATTAGAATGGAATTAACTGAGCATTTCAATAACACATTGCAGTAATTAATATTATTTTTAACTATTTCCTTGTTTTGCTTTCATCACTGTTTCCAAATGCCTTTGCAGAGTGTAAGCCAGGCTGTTTGCATGCCAGGCAATCCATACCTCTTACTACACTGTGTAATGTATATGAAATCAGCTGTCAACTGTTTGGAGCAAGGAGCACGGCTTGCACAGTCCCTTGTTTCTAATCTCCAAATGGTGCAGATTTCAGGGTGAAAACCAACACTGAACAGATCCTTTTTCTAGAAGGAACTTAGCTTGAGGGGCCATTTTATCAGCTGATCCTTCCCAGTAGGATTTAATCTTAATTGTTTAAATGGGGATTATCAGAATAGTTGATACTTCACAGCCCTGGTACTAATGCTGTAACCTTCTTGTTCTCTTTGGCTGTGAATGTCAATCCTTTTATTCTACTTTAGAATCCTTTCATTCATTTTTAGCCCAGCCAAGGCTATGAGGGGCTTAAGAGTATTTCAACACTAGCCCACTTCCTGTATACACATATATAATCAAATATTATTTTAATTAGCAGTTGCCTTCAGTTCCAACATGCTTTATTGGACCATCAAGTAGCTGAGTCCATAAATCTATACATTATAAATCTAATGCAGTAAACACCCCAGAAAGGAATCTTAATAGCACATAAGCTTGAGACAGCTTGCTGTAAAATTTCCATAAATATCTCTGAAGGGGTGTAGCAATATGAGGTGCATGAGAAATCAGAGTTTAAAAGAAGCAAACCAGCTGGCTTGTGTTACACACTAAAGTGAAACCCACTTATGTGAATAATTGACATGAATAAAACATTTACATCGGGCTGAGCAGCTCCCTGTACCTACCAGGGAAAGCTGAATCTTGTCCATGAATCTTGACTTCAGGAAAACTTTTGAAATCACCACTTTTATCCAGCAAATCATTTCAGCTTCAGTAAATTATTTTCAGTCAACCAGATTGTCAGGACTAGTCAGTGCTGCAAGTGTGAGAAACCAACCACCCTTTAGACTTCTATAACTGACCTGAGCCTGGGTTGGGCATTAAGCTCATTTTTACAGCTTTACTATGGAATAGCAAACTGGAATGGAAGCCTCTCTGAGTTAAAGCTCAGTGTGCACTAGGAAAAACGCTAGTTCAAGTGTCTTACTAAAATGAAATAAATTAACAGTTATCAAAGGACAAAAATTCCAACAGTAGATAGGGATCAGCTTCACTGCAAATGTAACTTCCCTCCTTCCAGGCAGTAAAGGTGGAATTTGGGCCCAGATAATGTTTTAAGATAACTTGTTTTACTTTAAAATAACAGATAGGACGAGCACTGTTGTGTTTTTATGTAGCAATACCACCAGTCATTCACACATGGCACCAGATTCATGCCCCATCAAGAGAAACAAGGCACTGGTGCCTGTTTCCTCACCAACTTACATTTGGAATCTCAATCCTTTTTATACTGGCTGGGTATCCCATTCCAACGTTTAGTTGTTCTCACAGTGAAGAATATTTTGTTAACCTAGACAAAATTTCCCCTGAAGCAACTTGTGCTCATTGCTTCTTGTCTGTGCCCAACATCTTTGTGAGAAGAGTGGGCTGAACACACCCAGTTCCTTCAACATTTCTTCGTGTGCCAAGTTCTCCGACCCTCTCATCACCCTCTTCTGGATCCTCCCCCATTTTCCTATTCTCTGTCTTGAACTTGGAGGATCAGTGCATTGAAGAGATCCCACAAAATAAGGTTAAAAGGTTCACTAATTAATTTTACTATGAGGTGATTGATGAAGGCATTTTTTAAGTTACTGATTTTCTAATAGACATTTCTGTCCCATACAGACATTTAATCTGTAAGTCCCAGAAACACAAAGGGGCTAAAGTGTGAGAGCACTTACAGTCAGGTGAGAGGCATGAGGATGGGAAAAGTTTTGTAAAGAGGGGAAAGGCCATCTTATTCACTTTTGAAGTTTTCATGTGGCTGGTTTTGCCCAGACTTAGTTCAGATGTTAAATGAGTTTACAAAGTGTTGTAACCAACCACTAGAACAAAATCTCACTTTTGCTGTATGCTCCAGCACTAAAATCTAGCAGCGCAAACAGTGTCTATTCATTCTGCCACTGAACTGATTTTGTGAATTAGGAATTTCTGGGTTTGATTTTCAAATAGGAGAAAGAGTCTGTGCAGAACTGCCCTCTCAGGGAGGCACCATTTTGCTAATTAATGGTTTCATCCTGATAGTCTAAAATCACACAAGAACAGCTATGTCCCCCCCATAGCTGGGACACATTCATTTTTCCCCAGAAAACCCATTCTAGTTAATCTCTTCCATCCTCCCACTGTGTTCACCTTTAACATATGGCAGCTCTGTATCATAAGGCTGGCACCTAAAATTAGGCAGGCCCTTGCTATGCTCCCTCCTACTCCCACCCACTGCTTGCATATGTATGTAGTTTGTAAGGACCAGCTGTGAATTTTGCCCCTGTAAACACTGTTTCTCTAGCATTTTAATAGGACTAGATTTCAAATATTCTACATTAACAGCTATTTTCCTCAAGAATGCTTATCTTAAATTTTCACAAAAGACAAGTAGAAGTTCAAATACTTTAAATCAAATATTTTAAAACTTTTGAGATCTTTCCCCTTAGATGTATTAGGGCCTGTGATGTTTTCTATCTTACAACAAAGGGGAAACAGTAATGCTTTGTTTAGGGTTATCTTTCAGCAATTTATCTAAAAATCAGAAGTTTCCCATTGAGACATTGTGTACTTCAGGTGCTCCATTGGAAGGTGGAGAATTTGCTCCAGGTTAAGTAGAAGCCTAAAGTCAATACTTAGAAAATACAGATTAATAAAAACCACACATGATGTGTTCCAGTGGATTTTAAAATCATGCCTAACAAATCAGGTTTCTGCTTGGAAAGCAGACACATTGTATTTAGATACTATAAAAGTTTATTTTGTTTGGTCTTGCTTGGGAAAGAGACACCATTCACTTTACTGAAAACTGGGCATTCATAGAAACTGTTTATCATTTTAGCTGAGCTAAGAATAGCTGAGCATGTGTGATAGATGAAGAACTTCTGTAGTATAAACATTGATGTTTTGCAGCATTAGAGTTAAAGGTATCATCATAAAAGGAAACAAATCACAATTGATTTTACTTACTGCATGGTAGCTTGAAAATATAAATTGGTTCTTTTTCTAAATGTTCTCTGCACATTTCTACTCCTTTATAAATGAAGGATGGCAGCCTGAACACACTGAGGTGTGTTCATTTCTGAATACTCTGGTGTATTACAATATCCTGGTTATCTGCAGGTTATCTCTAGCAAGGGTTGTGGCCCTCACTAGAAGAAATCAGTTAAATTCAAATCATAGCAGACCTTATGTAGAAGTAAATTTCTCTGTGTTCCACTTAGTTTTCAGTCAGTTCAAAGTAGCAAACTAAGAAAACTCATGATCTGCCATACTGATTTCAGCATGGAATTGAAATTCCCCT